AGGTCGGGGCGGCCTCGAGGAGCGGGCGATGGATGGGGAGGGCGAGGCGGATCTCTCCAACGACAAGGCGGCGCCGCGGTGGAAGAGGAGGTCGACCCCCCGGCCGCAGCCCCTCGCCTGGAGCAAACCCCGGCCCCAGTCGTACCAGAGCCCCAACGGGGTGCTTTTCACCGACTTTCCCGTGGAGGACAGGTGCAGCTTCACCGTGACTCAGCCTGCCCGCACCGTCAGCAGCTGCACGGGCAGCGGGGTGCTCCGGAGGGACCCCTCGTTTTTCAGTTCCAGCATGGGATCGGTGTCCAACGGGAAGGTACGGCCTCCAGCCTGTAAAGCGGTCTCCCCCGAGCTGTCTCCTGAGCGGTCCTCCCAGGTGCTCCCTCTGGTTTCGAACAGTTCTGTTGGTTTTACTGCCAACGGCACCATTACCTCACCAGGAAGCCAGCTGGGTTGTCCCCTGAGGATTTCCAGTCAGTCAGCACTTACACCGCAGCAAGAGCAGATTGTTTTCACAGACAGCCCTCAGCCCTCACCTACTGGAAACGCACCTTCGTCCAGTAACAACAACGCGGCAGTGCTGCCCTTGCAATGCAACCGGGTTTCCAAAATACCAGAAAAAGTGCTGCTGGGGCCCCCCGTGGTTTCCCAGGCGATGTCCCCAGAGCAAGGCATAACTCCTCAGAGGCCAGCCTCCCCTCAGGACCAGCCCGTGGAGCAGCAGCCCGTGGTCCTGAGCACCAACAGCCCCGCCGCTCTCAAAGTGGGCACGCAGCAGATCATTCCCAAGAGTTTGGCTTCGGAAATAAAGGTGACGAGCAAAGCCAACGGCCAGAATGCAGAGACGAGCAAAAGGGTGCTGAAGGTCCGCAGCATGGTGGAGAGCCTCAGTGTGCCTTTGGTAGCCGATGCTGAGGAGGAGGCTGAGGGCGACCTGGACAGCCCAGGGAACCTGAGGCGCGGCCTGAGGTCGACATCCTACCGCAGAGCGGTGGTGAGCGGCGTGGACTTTGACAGCTCTTCTAATTTTAAGAAAAAAAACAGAATGTCCCAGCCCATACTTAAAGCAGTTGTTGAAGATAAAGAGAAATTTTCAAGCCTGGGGAGGATAAAGGTAAGCTGTGCTGATCGGTGACATGTTGATTTGAATGGTATAGACTACACAGGAACGTGATTTGCAATCTCTGTGTTTTCCATAAATGCTGGGTTTTTTTCAGTTTGCTTTTTGCTACCACGAAACTTTTCGTAGTTATCGATGAGTCTCACAGATCCCTTACAAGTGTTGTTTTCGAAGTAAAGTGGCGGAGGCTTCAGCGACGTGATTCTGTTGAAATCTGGGCAGCTCAAAAATGTGTTGATGGCAGCCTCATGCTTGCATTTCCTGCTGGATTCCCCGGCACATCGAGGTTTTCTTTCACAATCGAATTGATATTTTAAAACCTGTTTCCAGAAAGTAGTAAACAGGAAGAAAAGAGACAGTGACTTAATAAAGTCTGCCTGCTAGAGTAGACAGACAGACAGAAAAATGAACTTCTCCCTTACTCCTCTGTCTGGGACAGTACTTTTAAAGTATTTTTAAAAATTGGAGTGTGATTTTTAAATTGATAGAGCCCACTTTAGGTATCTTTTTGTAGCTTAATGCCTGCAAGTAAAAGCAGAATGCCTGTTTTTAATTCTTGGTTGTAATCCCTTAGGAATAGTAGATTTATATTGAATGTTAATGTATTAAAATTAAATTGTAAAGACTTACTGAAAATATTCTTTTACTTGAACATATCATATTGTAATCTTGTATTTCCTTCTTTTTAAATATAATTTGTTACTTTTTAAAAAATACATTGGTAGATTTCTGCAGAATGTTTGGAATTGTGTAATAAAGTACTCCAGGCTAAGGGCTAATGCTGTAGCTATTAAAATAATTAACGGCTTTATGACAATTTTCAGCCAAATTAAAAGTTATGGTTATGGAAGCTTTTATGAAAACGCTACAAGCGGTGAAATAGTAATTGATCAAATTGTGAACTACTACTGAGTAGGGAGGTGGTTTGTTTTGGTTTGGTTTTGGTAGTAGACTTTAACAGTAAGTTATGTTTAAAATAGGAGGACATGACGTTGTCCTGTCGTTACACACAAAACTCTTCTTGCTAGTAGTATTGTTTTAAATAGACGTCTTAGACCATACCACTTCTTGCACCAAAACAGCTGTTTTATTTCAAAAGTTTGTTTTGGTCTCAAAACGTTAGTTTACGAAATACTTAATGTGGTTGTTCTTTGCAGAGTGTGTGGAAAGGGACAACCACTCAGTCGTGTACCTTATATCTTCGTAGAAAAGCCCAGTGACTGGAATGAATTGCAAGTTCACTGAACTCTTGTAAAGCTAGTACACTGTGCTTTTGAAACATAGGAAAAATGAAGCATTTGGGACAAATCCGTATAAACGATGCATGAGAGAAGGAAAACCGGAGTAGCTTTTCACTTTCTGTGATGAAACAATTGTTTTCATGAATACTTGTGCAACATCAGAAGTTAATAGATTCGGGCCTGTTAATTTGGTGCCTAAGTATCAAATAAAATAGAAGTTCTTGTTACTGTTGGTTATTTTGCATTCTTCTTTTAATGCGTATGTATCTCTTTCCTGTTGAAATTATCAGAAGAAAATGCTGAAAGGACAAGGGACGTTTGATGGGGAAGGTAAGCTCTTTCCTGTACAGACTTGATAATATGCTCAATCACAAGAGAAAGGCACTTCAGGATCATTTTGCACACTTCTTTCGTATGTTGTCAAAGACTAAGTACCTTGTTTTTCAGTAAACTGACTAAAATATGAAACCATAATTTTGGCACTAGACATACTTTAGGGAATATTTTAAAGAATATAGAATGGCAGGCTAAAAATGGGTTTTTGTTTGAAGGGCTTCTTTTCAACTTAAACTCCTGTCCCTCCTAAAAGGTGAACGGATTGATGTCTGTCTCAGCCCTAACGGTTCTGTAGAGTTACACAGGTGAGGCTTGTTCCTCCAGGTAGGACTGCCTTCCTGCCTGTTGCCTGTGACTCTTCCCAGGTGCAAGACTTAGCTTTTGTGGATCAGTTTACGGGTTTGGGGTCATTGCTTGCAGCAGATGCCTGAATTGTTATTCTCTGAGTTTATGGTTCATGCAGCTATTTCTCTCTTTTCCTCCTAAGGCAAGGGTGCTGGGGTGAATTCTTTGACTTTGTAATCCTTTTCGTTTCTTGCTACCTAGGCTTCAAGTTTACGTGTCAGAAAAACACTGCCCGTGTATCTGCTTTTTTATGTTATTCATTAATTCTGGGCTTTGCCAAGTTTGCTGCTTTCCCCAATATTTCAACAAGAAAAAAATTCTTTCCTGGCTATGAGTCCATGGAAGTTTCATTGTAATAACTGCTACTCTCTTGGCTTTTCTCTGCTTAATGCCTCCTTAAGGTCATTTCAGCTGCTGTGTTACCTTCCTTTTCCTCTTGTTTCTATTTTCAAAACCCTGTCTTGCTCTTATTTTCATCTTTTCTCACACTATCTCCTGATGACGTTTTCTAGATTCTCTTCCAATGGCTCCCTTCTATCTTGGACTGATCCCAACTAATAACTTTCTCTGTAATGCCTCTTAGAATTCAGCTGCTGTACACAATTTCCTGTCTTAAAAGTGTATAAATTATATAGACTTTCCAAAGAACAAATACAAAAGGCCAGACCTTGTATAATACTCAGCCAGGGCTGTATGGTCCGAGCAGGTGGAACAGATCCACCCAGCCCAGCGTAAGACCTCAGGAGTTGCAACTCTGCGTGGAGCAGCCAGGCCTTTCGCTTTTTTCCCCTTTCTCTTGTAGAGGAAGGTTGGATATTGTCCAAAGCCTGGCCCATCTCTAAAGTACCTTTTAGAGCTTCCTTTCTTAAGAGCTTAATCTGTCTGCAGGTTATTCTGGTCTTGAATTTCTCTGTCCTTTTCTGTTTGCTTTTGAAAAGGGTGTGTGGTCAAGGAGGTTGGGAAAGGGAAAGGGTATGCTCCACACCTGTGTTTCTTTGCCATTGATATTACTGAATTAATACTGGCAGTACTGAAATATATAATGAGTGTATTTTGTCTTAAGGTTCATAGGCCTCAGGCTTATTCAGGCAAGCTTTGAAGTTTCTATTTGGAATAGTTCTGACCTCAAATTTCTGAAATTTGGATTATTTCCTTCTCTTAGTGAAGTGCGAAGATGGTATTTAAAGCTGACAGAATAAAAGTTGGCATGGGTAGTGGATTTATAATGGTCTTGTAGATTAAAATAGCTAGATCTCCAGATTAGTGACTCTGCTCTACTGACACGCTTGTTCCGTTTTTAAATTGCTGGCTAATTATGAAACATTGTACAGCAAACCAAGGAAGAAAAAATTGTTTTCTGTTTTTTCTCAACAAAGGACACATCTGTTCTTTAATTCAGTCAGTGTGGATCTTTTTGGTAGTGGTACAGTGATCCATTGTTACTGTACTGCACCATTGTCCATCCTAAATAAGATACTATCTTTGTCTCGTGGAGTTTGTGAACGGCACATTGACATTTTGGTTTCTTTCATTGTTTAAATGTTACTTATAATGTTTATGAAAGCAACTAAGCTAACTTTCTAGCAATTAATGACATACTGTTGTTGTTTTATAGAAAACGCTGTATTATATCAGAACTATAAAGAAAAAGCTCTGGATATAGATTCTGATGAAGAGTCTGAGCCCCGAGAGCAGAAATCAGATGAAAAGGTTGTTTTTCACTATAAGCCCCTGAGATCAACATGGAGTCAGCTGTCCATTGTGAGTATTTGATCATTGTATAGCCAGACAAAGACAGAGTATCTAAGAATGTATTGAAGCAAGTGTTTTTACTTGTTAGTGGAGTTTTTGGCTGAAGTTTGTCATCTTCTTTTCCCTTCCAAAATATAAGGTGTCTCTGAATATTTTTTTTTTTTTTTTATTGACAAGTTTGCAACTATTCAGATGTTATTAATCCAAATCTGGAGGTCTCAGTTTAGCTTTTGCTTAGGTTTTATGTAAGGTAACTCCAACAGCTTAACGAAAGCATAAATCATGTTTTCTCAGTCAATTTTAGTAGGTATAGACTGAGGCTCTGGCAGAATCAGTTTCCCTGTTAACTGACGCCTCCCTTTTTATAGCGCAAGGATTTGTAGGCTCATGTGGCCACACAACAGACTGGTTAGAGTATATGATTTGAAATTACCAAGAAAAAAAATTAAGTGTAGTTTACGATGAAATTAAATACAACTTTGAAATGCAAAGGAATTAATCTTTCATAATTTTACACTTTAAGATACATTTCTTTTTTTTTTTCTTTTTTTTCTTTTTTCTTTTTAAACTATGCTGGACAAAAAAAATCAAGCATACCTCTTTTGTTTGCACATTGAATTTAAGACCCTGACTTTGTACTTCCCACAGTCACTAGAGATGGCTGCTTAGGCCTTGCCCGCACAGGGTGTTGGCAGCCATACTGCTTCGGGTCCTTAGAAGAGTTGTGGCTTACGATAATGTACGTTACTGTATCTGGCTGTTCTGAATGAGGTACTGTCAGAAAGCCTGCAAAGACAGGTTTAAATCCTAACAGCATGTAAACTCAGAGTGAAATCTGTGCTTTGTAGTTCCTTTCAATAAATTGGAGTGGTGTGGACCAAACCTTAACTAGAATTTAGTCCTGTTCTTTTTTTTGCTAAAGTTTGTCTTTTGTTTCATAAGAACAACGTGGAAGTCCTGATGAATTACTTGCGTTTGTTTTACATAAAAAGCAATGCAATTGAGAAAGTTCATTTTAGGGTCCTGTATTTGGCAAAGACAACTTTACTGATTCATAAAAAAAAAAAAAAAAGTGTGAATTCACTAAAAGGGTGAACTATACTAATGAAAAGCTTCAGTTAGTTACAAACAAGTTTCTGCCAAATTGTTCTAAATTGCTGCAAGCCAACTCTTAAGTTGATTTGACTGTATATATTTAATGGAAACCATTTTAAGAAAGCCAAGTATTCAGATGGTGGTATTCTATCCTTAGCACAGTCTATGAAGCACGTGCAGTGGCTTTTTCTTAGTAGCATTGTTAAACAAAGTAGAATTCAGCTGTTTTAATCAGTACTGTAATCTTGCTAGAATCCCTGCTAATAAGCTGGCAAATCAATGATACTAGTTGATATTTCTACAGGCTTTCCTAGTTTGTATGATTTTGAGACTAAGGAAACTGTAAAAATTCTGTGTTTCTGTGGTTAATTTTATCCTTTGATCATTTCTGTAGCTTCTGGAGGAATATCCCTAAAATGAAGGGTTTGGGGTTTTTTTTGGGTTTTGCTTATGTAACTTGTAGAATGTTGTAGAACCTCATCTCTATATGTGGCGTAGGAAAGGATCATTATTACATGACACGATCACCTAGAATATTTGACAACTGGGGCCATTGGCTGTGTATATCCTATATAAATTAGTTACTAAGCCTCAACAAGATCTTCATTAAGCCTCAGCAAGATCCTCTAAGGCTATTTAGATTGTCTGTTTAGAAGAGCTGTCTTACAGATGTTTGTGACCTTTTGCAGTGTAAGGTATTGAAATATGAATCCCTCCTTGATTCAGTAATTATAAAGAAGGCAAGACAATGTGGTTTTGAAAAGATTTGCTTTAAATTTTCTTTCGACAAATCAAGTACTTTAAATGTAGTTAATTTGCTTAATGTTGCAAAAAAGTTTGTTTATAATGAAGCCAATTTGGTTTTTTTCTGCCTTCTAGGCGAACTAGCAGTTAAATGTTCAACAGCTGAGGTATTTTGGAAGGAATGCTATTCAGTAATAATAATAATTTCAAAAACACTAATTTGTTGTGAGACCAAAATAGTATAAAGATCATCTCAGTAAGAGAACCATTCCTGGGCCATGCCTACAGTTATATAAACCAACTTGTTCTTTATGATTTCTAGCACCACAAACTTGTTCAGTGTCTCTACGTGATTTACAAGGTTGGAAGCAGGGGGTATATGGGAAAAGGTAGTGCACTGTGAAAACAAGCTATGGGAATCTGAATCTCCTAGTGTCTGTGTTTATAACTCTCTGGAAAAGTTACATGCTGTCAATGTGTATTAAAAAATGAGTGTGGAATTGTAACAGGAAGTCAGCTGGAAAATGTCAAAGTACTGGGTTTCAACATACATTGGGACAGGAGGAGAATAATATGTTTATGGTATTTGTTAGCAGTGGCTACGCTAGGAAATCGAGGGGAGACAGCAGAATGAATCCACTCTTTCTGCAGGATGTTTCTTTGGCCATACAGGCTTGACAGCTGATGCGGTTCTGACCAGACTTTCTGTTTAAGGGGGGCAGTGAAACCTTCATGTATGGAGTTGTCAAATCATTTATGATTATAGTAAAAAAAAAAAAAAAAAAAGGACATTTCTATCTTCCTGCAGTGTACGCACACATGTGAAACTAAGATTGAGCTTTTCAGAGAACATTTAAAGACTCTGAAATAGGGTGCTATTTAAATCCAGTTCCTTTCAAATTCCTCTCTTGAACTCTCTTCCTCTTCAGATTCCTGTTACCGATTAGACAGCTACCAGTAGCTAAGCAGATGACTAGATAAAGAGCTAGCTTATCTACGATCTCTGTTCCTTCCAACCTTCATCTGTTCATTTAAAAGTTTAATTTAGGGAGAATAACGAATCTTTCCAAAATATATTCCAAAAATATCTTTCGATATTTTTGAAGAATTTCCAGGAGGTCATAGGCACTGATACTAACTTGTGTGCTATATTAAATGTATTTACTTTCCATCAAATGCAGCATTCAGTTGGTATGGATAATGACATCGTGTATTATCGTACATGCAAAGAATCACAACATCAATTAGGTTGGAAGGGACCTCTTGAAATCATCTTGTCCAAACCCCATGCTCGAGGAGGGTCAGTTATAGCAAGTTGTCCACGACTGTGTCCAGTCAGGTTTTTACTATCTCCACAAGTGGAGACCTCACCACCTCCATGGGCAACCTGTTGTAGAGTTTGACCACTGCATCTGAGTGGCAGACTTTGAACTTAAATGTCTATTTTTCCAGGTGCTTACTGTCCAGCCTGGAGAATATGATGCATGTTCACTTTTCATTACTACTGTCAATGCTGCTGTGATTCTTGCAAATATTCTTGAGATCTAACACTGGAAACAGATGTCCTATAGCATAGGTAATGCTCATAATTATTGAAGTAAATATTAACTGGGTGTTTTAGCATCAAGTCCTCTATTTCATGCCCAGTAGGTTCAATGTATTTATGTAGCACTGCATCAAGGTTTTGCGTGTTCTCTGAACATGTTAAAGAAGTCTCTTTAACTGGAACTCTTTCCAAGCTTTGTCATCTTGTATTTCATTTTTCTGATCATCTCTTTCTCTGGTTTGGGACAAGTGCAGTTGTGATTTTTCACATTCATTTAAAAAGCTGCCACAAGTTGCTTTACTGAGCCACTCACACTGTCACCTTTTCATGGCTGCCTCTTCTCTGTGGTATCAAAGACTACCTCGTTTTACTGTCAAGGATCTTCAGGGCTAATGTCTGCATTAGCTCTCAATTCTCTCCCATTATCAAAAGGCTTACGTTCAGTTTGGTTTATGGTGCAGCCACTTATTTCTCAAAGAAATATTTCTGGTGCGTTCCCCCCCTGCGGCACTTCTTTATTTTAGAGGAACTTCTGGTACATAACCACAGAGTTAACTTGTCATTCTTTCATCCTTTCCTCCTCATCTCCATGGTTGAATCAGTCATAACTGAGTTGCTGGAAAAAAACAGTCCAGTGTGACAATAAGACAACATCAGTAGCTGCAGTGTCAGGCCTCTTCCTTTCTTTCTGGTTATGTTCTTAGCTTTTATTAAGTTGTTGTTTGCATAGTATCACAAATGTGATTTTTAGGCTCTTTCAGCTGAAACATTTTGGACATCTCAAAAAATAGGAATTGAGTTTGCTTTCACAGAGTATGCCAAAAATAGCCTCTGTATTTGGGCCCCTTTCTCTTTGGAAGTGCTGCTGTTGATTAAGAATATAAGGTTGAGCTATTTGCTTATGTGATGAATTTATATGTGTACTTTGTATGTACACACCCATATATGACAAAATAATAATCACGAAACACACCTACAGTTTTTTGAACATGAATACAGTGGTTGCCGTGTTGACTTCCCTGGAAATGTGCAGTTGCTGTATTAACAGGAAGCATTGAAATCTCTTGGATATGTTCATAGGTATTTCCTTTGTCAGCATATTTTTAGAAAAGTCCTCCACTGCATCCAGACAAAAAAGTGACGTTTGTGCTTCCTAGTGAGTGCTTTAAAGCTTTCAGGTTGTTGATTGAAAGGTACTTTAATAGTTTCATAGAATAGTTTGGGTTGGAAGGGACCTTTAAAGGTCATCTAGTCCAACTCTCCTGCAATGAGCAGGGACATCTTCAACTAGATCAGGTTGCTCAGAGCCCTGTCCAACCTCACCTTGAATGTTTTCAGGGATGGGGCAGCTACCACCTCTCTGGGCAACCCATGCCAGGGTTTCACCACCTGCATTGTAAAAAATTTCTTCCTTATATCTAGTCTAAATCTACCCTCTTTTAGTTTAAAACCATTACCGCTTGTCCTGTCACAACAGGCCCTGCTAAACAGTTTGTCCTTATCTTTCTCGTAAGCCCCCTTTAAGTACTGAAGGGCTGCAATAAGGTCTCCCTGGAGCCTTCTCTTGTCCAGGCTGAATAACTCCAACTCTCTCAGCCTTTCTTCATAGGAGAGGTGCTCCAGCCGTCTGACTGTTTTTGTGGCCTTCCTCTGGACCCACTCCAACAGGTCCATGTCTTTCCTGTGCTGAGGACCCCAGAGCTGGATGCAGTACTGTGGGGCGGGGGGGGTGGGGTGGGGCATGTCTCACGAGAGCAGAGTAGAGGGGCAGAATCGCCTCCCTCGCCCTGCTGGCCATACTTTGGATGCAGCCCAGGATACAGGTGGTCTTCTGCGCTGTGAGTGCACATTGACAGCTCATGTCCAGCTTTTCATCCACCAGTACCCCCAAGTCCCTCTCCGCGGGGCTGCTCTCAATCCCTTCATCCCCCAGCCTGTATTGATACTGGGGGTTGTCCCGACCCAGGTGCAGGACCTTGCACTTGGCCTTGTTGAACCTCATGAGGTTCCCATGGGCCCGCTTCTCGAGCTTGTCCAGGTCCCTCTGGGTGGCATCCCGTCCCTCAGGCGTGTCACCTGCACCACTCAGCTTGGTGTCATCTGCAAACTTGCTGAGGGTGCACTCGATCCCACTGTCTGTGTCATTGATGAAGATATTGAACAGCACTGGCCCCAGTACGGACCCCTGAGGGATACCACTCATCACTGTTCTCCATCTGGACATCGAGCCATTGACCACTACCCTCTGGATGTGACCATCCAATGAGTTCCTCATCCACCAAACAGTCCACCCATCAAATCTGTATCTTTCCAGTTTGGAGAGTGGGATGTTGTGGGGGACCGTGTCAAAGGCCTTACAGAAATCTAGACAGACAACATCCGTAGCTCTTCCCTTGTCCACTGATGTAGTCACTCCATCATAGAAGGCCATTAGCTTGGGCAAGCAGGACTTGCCCTTGGTGAAGCCATGCTCCTGTCTTGAGTCACGTCCCTGTCCTCCACGTGGCTTAGCATAGCTTCCAGGAGGATCTGTTCCATGGTCTTCGCAGGCACAAAGGTGAGGCTGACAGGTTGATAGTTCCCAGGGTCCTCCTTTCTACCCTTCTTAAAAATGGGTGCGATGTTTCCCTTTTTCCGGTCCCCAGGGACTTGACCTGACTGCCATGACTTCTTAAATATCATGGAGAGTGGCTTGGCAACTACATCAGCCAGTTCCCTCGGGACTCTGGGATGCATCTCATCAAGTCCCAGTAATAGAAAGGCATCTAATTAGGTCTTGCTTGGTATTCAGAAGTGTATGCTTGTGGTGACACAGGAATCTGTAACTTGTGTTCAAAAGAACAATTGCTCAAACACTGGAATATTTACGTTATTTTTGTAAGTATATACATGTATGTATGTCCTTTGGTGTGCGTGCAAACCAAAGCGCGGCACTTCTTAATGTTGTGCCATCTTTACTCTTGAGCTTGCTATCCAGGTTTGTGGTGCCTGGTATGCAGGAATAAAATGAGGAATAATATATCCTTTAAAATTCCAGGGAACAAGTGGAGTAAGAAGAGAAAGCTGTTGATGATAGTACGTTAGGAGCTTTTGGAGAAGACCAAAAGAGAAAAGGGAGAATGGAAGTGCGTCTGTTAGGTCTCATGTCCCGTGACATACTGCTGCTCCACAAAGAGAACAGTATCTTTCACATGTGTAGTGCTGTGCAGTGGCCTCTTTCCCCTTCCCTGGTCCAGCGTGGCATATGCAGGTGACCCTCCTGATTTGATGTCCTGTGTTTAACACTCCTCTAGGAAATGCATAAAGTCAGTCCCTCCTTGGTGCTTCACTTTCTGGTTGGTTTTTTTGTTTTGTTTTTTTGTTTTTTTAATGTTCTCCTGTTGAATGACATAATGCGTGCGATTTGCACCAGGAAAGAATAAACTTCAGGGGTCTCTGGTGTGGAATTTGGTAGCTGAGCATGTGGCTTCAGGCTGTGGAAAATGTGGCTATGGCTGGAGTTCATGATGGGTGTATATGGAGAGCTGGGGCAAGCTTGTCTTGGCTGATTTGGCTGTAGGGTGCGGAGTGGGGAGAGACATCCTCCTAGGGTTGAGGATATAAATACAGGGGTATTTACTCAGGACTTTGCCATGTATGTTTAGGGTAAAGCTGGAGCTCCTCCAGAATAATTTTACCAGTCTAGGTAGTTTGTCTAGGCCTTTAGGTGTGTTTAATAAATGAAGACACTAAGATTTTTCAGGCTGACTGGAAAACAAACCTTGTGATGTGCGTGAGTCAGTCAAGTGATCTAACTTAAAAGGAGAAAGCAGTTTTCATGCTTCTCTGTGTGTGTAAAATACAGGAGGCTGTGCAGGGTGACCGTGATTCAACTGTGCAGGCTTTTGCTGCAGTAGTTCTGTGTGTGTGTCCTGGGGTAGTTTTTAATTAAATTGTTTAGTTCTTTTGATAAGTCAAGTGACAGACATTATCAACTGTTTCTTTATTTCTGCTGGTTCACTGCTGTCTTTCTGAAGTGGACAGGTTCTTTAGCTGAATTCTTACTCCAATGTTTTGATAATTCTGTGGTTTGTGGTTTTTTTTTTTAATTGTGTTTTTCTACAAAAGATGTTAAAAATTTGTTGTTTTTTTTTTTTCCCCCCCCCTTAGGTAAAGAAGAATGGATTATCAGAAGCGATCAGCCAGGAAGAGAGAAAAAGACAGGAGGTACTCTTTAAAGTAACACATTCTTTTTTGTTGATTGTTTAGGGATGCACTGCATGCCTGATTTAATACTCTCCATTTGTTGATAAGGAGACAAGTTCATTACACTGCTTCCTGTCCTAGAGGGAAGTGTCTTCTCTCCCCAGGGAGAATAAATAAACAAAACGTGTCTGTTGCTGATGTGCATGTGTCCCTGCCACGGGTCTCCTGCCAACATCCTGCGGGTCTTGCTGGAGGAGTGGTTCCTAGGTATGCTCACTCCAGCAGATGTAGCCTGGTTGATGGCTACTCAGTAGCAGCACAGTCACTGCTGCGTGCTGTACAGGGGAAGGTGTAAAATTAACCTTGTGTTTACAGAGGGTATGAGGTGGCGCATAAATTTTTAAAGGCAGTGAGGAACAAAGAACAGCTTTTTACAATGCCCTTTAGTTGTAACTAATCCTGTGAACAATTCTGAACATGTGAGCACTGTGTATCTGGTGTAACTAACCTTTTTCCTTTCACGCTGAAATGGAGTAGGTGCATCCATGCTGTCAACAGTACAGACAACAGCAGCAATTACTGATGTAGTTATCTTTTCTCTCTCTGTCTCTTTCCCCTTTGCTCCTTTTGTCCTCTTTATCCGCTTTCCTCTTCCTCTTTGCTCCTTTTGTCCACTTTATCTGCTTTACCCTCCTTCCTTACTTACAGGGGCTATATCAAAATGAATGAGAGGTGTTGAAAAGAATAGCCTGACCTAGCCAACTATATACCTGCAGTTCTTGAGGTATGTCCTTCAACAGGAAAAAAAAACCAAGGTTTTTTGAATAGAAACACTGTAGTGTTACCTGCCATGGAAATTTGTTCCAATATCTTCATTTCGCTTCAGGACATACCTCAGTGAATGTAGCCAAGCGAGATCTGACTGGGGTTTTCTGTGAAGTTCACATATGTATATAGCAAGCCTCAAATATTAATTCAGCTGTGTGACCTACAGCTGTTGTGTTCGTACATGAAATACAGAAACATCTTGTATTGCATACATGAGATTTAGGCAGTAGTTTGGTTTTTTGTTTTGTTGTGTTTTTTTTTTTTAATAATGCTACATTTCTTTGGCTATCTTCTTTTGCTTTTTTTGGGGAAGAGGCTGTGCAGCAGTTCAGGCCATGTGTTCTGCTTTTCTGTCTCCTCCTGCTGGGAAGCTTTGAGACACAAGGCATTTATTTCAGTCATATTCTTTAGGAGCCTTTAGTCTATGTTTCCTGGAGTCCGTATTTACATCCCTTTGAAGAGAACAAGTTCTTCAGATGCCTTTTAAATGTAGTGTGTTTAATGTAACCAAAAATATTTCCAAGCCTGAAGTGTTTTTATTTGAATATTAGAGGCCCGTTCTTTCAGAGGGAGCCTAAATAAATATTTGAAGATGTAGTTGTATGTACGTCTTTTAAATAGCCTTTTATCAATTGTTCTTTATCTATTCTTTAAATTACTTTTTGGAGCCTATTAGATTATTTTTGCCATCGTATTATAGTGTCACTGCAGAAAAATGTTTGCTTTATACCTTGATTAAATGTCAATGTCATGCATTCATACACATCCCATCTTTCAGAACACATTAGTGAGATGGATCTCTGTGCATCTTTTGTCTAAAGAAAATGTCATATAGACAGACTGATTCAAACTGAAATAATTTTTGATAGATCTTCTTTTCTTGCAAGCTGGAAACTCTTAACAGTGTACAAACTGCAGTATGCATCTGGCCGCTTGAGAGTGTTTACGGTCCATCAGGATTCAAACATCTGCTTACCTTGATATAATGCAAATTAACCACAGTGTGGCTTCAGATGTCGTTCAGCAACACTGTTAGCAAGCACCTGGTAAATGCTGCCCCAGCCTCTGAATGTGGTGTAGTTACTTTATGTCAAAGTCAAGGTTATTTCTTAATCCTTTTTTATTTTTTATTCTCTGAAATGTGTTTGGGTCATGGTAGGATCATATTCTCTCCCTTCCTTACACATTAGAAGCAAAGTATCTTTCTTTGTCCCATTTATTTCTGACTATGCTAATGACTTTCTGTCACCAACTGGAAGAAATCCATGAGGGTCCTCCGTAAAAGCATAAAAAAAACCCCTCCAAAATGATAATAATAAGAAAGCTTGTATATTTTTCTGTGTTGAAAAATGTCTGGGTAGAAACCAATTCGCCACGGAACTCTACAGCAATCCTTAGGTAAATCCTTTCGTTGTGAGCACAACTGGGAGAAGTACAATGAGACTGAAGATTAGAAATGTAATTGCTGGGCAAAGGCTAAAATGCCCTTTTTAGGCACCTTTCTGCACATTGTTAGCCAAGCAGTAGGTAGGTTTGCTGCCAGAGTTTGGCTGACGTGTGCACATGCTCTCTAGATTCTTGAGGCTGAGGGAGTTGGCAGGCAGGCAATTTAACATTATTTTAAGCATCACCTTTGCATATTGTCTTGCACAGCAGTATTCACTCTTGCGAATAATATGTAGTATGTTGTAGCTGTTACTTAGCTGCTGCTGTATCTCTCACCAGATCCCTTCAGCTTTTTAGGTAGGTAATACGATGGAGAGACTACTGATAGGTACATTAGACTTCCCTTCCTTGTATGTATAATGGCCCTGTAGGTTTTCTGTGAGTTGATAAATCTTTGCACTGCATAGACCTTTAAGTCTTCAGCTAAAGCAGTTTTTTTGTTTGTTTTGTTCTAAGAAATCCAGAACTTGTTATTTCATTATTAAAATCTCAGTTCTTTGAGGAAGACTTTTTAGAAGGGCAAGAATAATTTTGAAAGCACAGTCTGGGAACACTGAGAGTCAGGATACCCAAGAGAAATTGTCTTTGATCAAAAGCTTACCTTAGTAACACCAACAGAATTCACTAGACTTGAACTTAAGAAATCTTATGAACAAATGTCCCCAGCAGAATGTTTTGTGGGTTTTTTTCCCAGTATGGTTTGTCTCAGTTGGCAGTTGGGAATATTCAGGAAGACTGCCTTCAACCTGCCTGTAATCTCCCTTGCCTTTATACCTGGTCACGGAAGAGCAGGGTTTCTCTAGATCACATACATCAGACCATCTAAGTGAACTCCTCCTTTAGACTGTCAGCTACAAGACCCTCTCTCTGTCGCTCTCTGTGTTTGTAGAGCCATGGGCATTAGCCTTTCTAAATACTCCGGTCTGCACTGTTGCATTTAAAGTGTATATTTCTCCTTTGGTGTGAGAATGCTTAGAGAAGTTATTTGCAAATAACTAATGAAATGCTACATGCAAGTATTAACATCAGTTACATTGAGCTCATCACAAAAGGGTTCGTGAAAGTTATTTAATTTTTTTTCCATGTATATACATATAAGAATTCTAGTAGATTAACAGCAAATAAAGCCTAGAGAGGTAGAAGATGTCTAAAAGGTGAATAGGTTTCTACATCAGAGATGAAAATTTCCAATGGAACAAGTATGTGGATTTCAAGTCCAAGAGTTCGTTAAAAGTTTGCTTTGTATGTCAGCCAGCTGATGGAAGTTACAGTGGCTACTCTCTAAGTGGCAGGGTGATAAACCAGAGAAGTTGTTTGTGGGAGGTGAGGGAATGTACTGGAGGTCTGGTGTCTGGTCACTAATCACTAAAGGGGATAGTGGCTGCCACCCCCTCCTGTCTGCTCTGCCTCCAGGCTTCTCTCCCTGCTGCAGATAGCTCAGCTTCTTGTGTGCCTGCTCCTAACTTGATGTTTTAAAAGGAACCAAGGTATCAGTGCTGTTATATGACTAAAACCTGAATTTTGCAAAGGGTTTTGCTTTTCTGCAGATGCTTGGGTAAGCAGAGCTCTGTTACCCAAGAACGCTTTCAAAGTAAATAACTTACCAGCTTCTGTTTAAAAAAAGCAAAAGCGAATACTGGCTGGTCAACAGTAGTATGACTGATATGAAGCTTCCAACTGGACCACAGAAACAGACATGGCTTTTCCAATTAAAAAACCAAAACAAAACCACCTCTGAGGAGTATGAATGGGGAGTGATCATAGTTGGTGTTAAGTTTTTATCTTCAAACTCTGTTTGCAGTTGCATTGCTAAGTCCGAATATAGACTTTTTAAAAAGTCTTTTTTCCTAGTCCTAAATCAGTTATTTCTAAGTAAATGATGCAACTATCATGGAAATATTTATGTTATAATCTCTAGCTTGCATCCAATAGCTTTTCTTTGCACCCCTCCTCCACATTTTCTTTTTCAAACTGAAAAAAACGAACCCCAAAACAACTAGTCAATAGTAAGTCTTTTCTTTCCCCCCTCCTCTTTGCAGGCAATATTTGAAGTGATATCTTCTGAGCATTCTTATTTGCTGAGCTTGGAGATTCTGATCCGGATGTTTAAAAATTCCAGGGAACTGAGTCTCACAATGACCAAAACGGAGAGCCATCACCTTTTCTCCAATATCACGGATGTTTACGAAGCAAGCAAAAAGTAAGTGTAGCAATAAATTTCTACATTTAAAAAAAAATATACATTTTTAAAATTGTAAATTTAAATATAAAATTTAGTAATTATAAATGTAAATTATTTACAATACATTTTTTTAATTACACCTGAGGGTGATTGCTAGTAGTCAAAATATCTTTCAAGCAAGTAATGAAATGTAGTGTACAAAATAGTGTCTTTACTGTCACCACAAAATGAAGGAACAGCTGCAAGGTAGCAAATTCAACAAAAATTTAGGCCTGACAGTTTAAGAACAAGAGTTCAAATGTTGCATCTGTTAATATGCAGAGTCTTAGTTTTTTATAAGTTGTAAGTAAATTAGAATGGGATTTGATTCTCTGTTCTTTCAGAGCACCAAAATATATGTGCTCTGCAGTGCTAAAGAATCATTTCATATAATACAAACAGCTAAGGTTTTTGTTTTGCTAACCATAGATTCTGTTTTTGTAATATGAGTAAGCCCCTGTTTATTTGGATTATATTTTCCGTATATATCTCACAGGCAGCTCCTTGAATAGTAGAGCTTTGGTTAGTACTATCTATGATATATGGTAGTATTTGCAGACTCAGGCTATGCCTTACATACACACTTGTTCTCCGAGGCATCTTGCTCTTATTTGGAAAAATCTTAACTTTTCTTGCCATAATACTCTCTATTTTTAAAGTTGAACAGTTGTTTACTTTTCTGGCTGTAATGTTTTAGTAAGGAGAGCTTACAGGTAGGCTGAACTGGAGATGTCCAGTTATTATTTTAATACCTGTTTGAACATAAAAGCAAGTTTCTTATTGGAATCTCAAGCAGCCATTTTGGAGTGGTAACCATTTCTTCCAAAACTAGTTTGAAGATGGAAAATGCAAATAGCAGTGAACATACACATGAGTTTGACAGACTCACCTTGCCACTATGTTTGAGCTCACATTTAATGAGATAGGCATGGTGTTAGTTTCTCTGAAAATTGGTAGGGAAGGAAAGAACATATTCTATTTTAGTAGAAATAAGCATCCTTCAAATCTAAACAGTTCCTAAGCTAAATGTTGATACACGAAGCAGTCCTACCTAGTCTTTACAGTTTGTCAAATGAAGCTTAGTCTGCCCGTACTAAACTGTTAAAAATTGAGCAAGAGTTTCATACTTGCCCTTAAGAACTGACTCTTGCCAGTGTTTTCCTTGATCAGTTGAATCACTGTTTACTTTCTACCGAGTACTCAATGTGCAGCATACTGTGTGACTGTGGTATCTTTTATGTAAACAGCATAGGCGTTTTACTGTTTATGAGCAGTGTTGTGCACGCCATAGCACCTGACACCAGAGACTTGTATTTCTTTTAAAAAGATCTGCTGTGCTTTTTTTTTTTTTTGGTGAATTTTTTCAGTACAAAGTCAAGAACAAGAAAAATGGACACGCTACAAATAGTGCCAAATGAAAAGGAAATGTTGGCAAATCTTACATGATACAAATGCTGAAAAGTCTGTTTTATGATTGCTGATAATTACTGCCAGCATTATTTAATATAGGACATGCATATGTATGCGCACTCATGGTGTGCTTCGGGGTTATGAACACTTTAAACTCTATTTCAAAAAGTTGTTTAATGAGAGTTTGCTTTGTTAATAATTTGTTCATTATTCTAGTCGGGTTAATAGAAGTATCAGCAGGTGAATTTCTGTGGTCTACATAACTAAAAAATAAAAATGTCTGTGCTTCTTTTCTTATGCCTTATTTCCAGTTTGAAATCAAGCACAATGGCTAAAGGATGCACGTGGCCTAGTTAAGATACTGATTGATCTTAACTGTAGCACTGTACAAGTTTAAATGCATCTCGCTCTACCTGTGGGACAGAAAAATATCGGCCTCATTTCAGAAATGGGGCTAATGGTTGGATAAGGAATCTGTCAGACTAGGAATATTTCTGGAGTCAGTCCTTCCCACTTTTACAACTTCTTTTTTTTTCCTCTTTTCTTTTGTCCCCTTTGCTTCTTTCTTGTAGAAATGGTGATGTTCTGAATTCTTTAGCATTAAATCTGTATTTACCTTTGTGGAACTTCTCAAGTTTCATGTTCCCAGTCATGGTAATGTCCTTTCTTGACTCCTGTTTCTCTGAAGCCCCACAAAGTCTGTGGAATTGTACATCTGTTGTGCAGCAGTTTGATTTTATGTCTTCTGAAGTTTATGCAGTAATAAGATTTTGTTTTATGGAGCATACATGTGAGGGAGTCTAATGTATTGCGTCAAGTGCAAACCTAATTTAGGAGCTATATAGTAGGTGTACATTTAGACTTATTCGGTATACCTTCATGTCTCCATCCCCCTGTTCCCTTTTGTTTCTCTCTCTCTTACAGTTGAGGTTTTTTTGCCAGAAGCTAGGTATTTTCTGAATACGCAGCCACCACAGGAATGAGAGCTGTACAACAGCAGTGTTGTCAGGGAGTGCAGGTTACCAAAGTCCTTATTTTCAAGGAATAGTACTTTTTAAAGGCTTTTCCTTACATGAAATGTGAATTGTAAAAGTAAACTATCATGAGCTCTTTTTTTGCTAGAGAAATGTTGATGTCACAGAACCATCATGTATTAGGGGGTAATTGCTGTCTTTTTTAGGTAGCTTAATAGAAATCAAAGGTTTAATTAGCCGCAGACATTGCCTCTGCTTTGGATTGTTTCTGTCAGGCACAGCTGACCATACTAGTATAGCTATGTGAATAGGTGTATGTTTGTTTTTTCCCCTGTGTTTTTCCCAGTGTTGAATAAGCCTCCAAATGATTAAATCCACTTTTAAATTTCTCACTTAAAATATTTAAAGCAGAGATGGGGGTGGGGAGAGCAGTATTTTTAGGGGAATTCTTACAACCCTTTTGATTAATGGTCTTCAAAGGAAGTGGGAGGGGGGAAAAAAAAGAAAAAATGGAAAAATACCACACTAGCCTAAAATTATGATCTTATTCTTTCTTGTCTGGGAAGTCTAATGGTTTAAGAACTTGGTTTTTTATAACTTGGAGTAAAAACAGAATTCGTAACTCCTTTTTAAACTTAAATGAAAACATATTTTGTTTCCTGAGTTATGCAATACTGTTAAACTATAACAAAACTTTGTGCTGGCTTTCTACAGCCTCATTTGTGTACATAATGAAAGTGATTTTAAAACAGAAGCTTCTTTCTTGGTATCTCCAAACTATCACTTCCCATTTTCAGGGTAGCAAAATCCATGCTTTTGTTATAAAATTGTAATAAAATTCAGCATCTGTCCCATTATGCTATATTTTAAGCAGCCTTTCCTTTACTTAAAAATATAAAATCTGAGTATGAGTGTCTGAGTGTAGTTATCAGTGGTTTTGGTTGCTCAGACAAAAGTTCGGTGAGCTAAAGAATGTGAATTGGTAAAAATACTCTCTTTAGTCAAAATTGCTTAAAGCTTATATCTAGGAACTTTGACTTAGAACATGTTTAATGGAAACTCTCCAGAAACACCCAGATAGGCTTCTAATGCATGACAAGGCCATTTCTGATGAAACAAAGCTGCCTTTGTTGGAAGCAGAATACAGACAGCAAAGACCGTCTCTGCTTTTGGGAGCTCATTGGAATGTCTCTAACAAAGAAGAGTTGATCTGAATAATTTGTGCAGCATACAATGTGTTTGTTTATGAAAACATCTTGTAAGGTGGCTTCAGAAAGCTTAAGTCTTTTATTGTGTATTTGCCTGTATGTGTAATGCGGGAGTTCGTAACTGATAGAACACAAAATCACACAAATTGCAACCCGAGTCAGGGAGAGCTGTTACATTGAGATGTAAGCCGATGGGGATGCCATAGGCCAGCTTATTCAGAAATAAAAGCTTGTGTAGTCTGAGAATACTGCGCAATCAATCTCACTAGTAAGAAGAACTCTCTGCAGTCTCAGGAGGTGGTGCAAAAGAGGTCAGTTTCCCAAGAGCCTGTCTTGGGAAAGAGGAGTTACAGGGAAATCAGTGAAATGTCTTGAAGAACAATTGGTCTGACAGGTCAAATCACCAAATTTATAGGAGAAAGGAAAGCTTTAGCAGTTTGTTTCTCTGCCATTAGGCCAGCAAAAGGCAAAGAGCTTATGGAGTATTGGAAGGTTAGTGTTAGCAGAAAAAGACATGAACAAAAAATAATTTGACAGGTTCTGACTGTTTTTAAACTCTGTGTATTGATTTCAGTAGAGAAGCCTGTGTGGCTTTGTGACGTAGGTTAACATCTTGTCTGAGTATTTTAATTTAATTTTATATGTGTGAATATATGTTACGAACTAGGTAAGCTTTCTCATAGCACTTTTTTGTAAATTAGGTTAATGTTTCACCTCTTTCCAACGTACTTTAAATGATGCAGCTTCATGTTTTTCCACAGGAAAATACCGTCCTAGTGTTCATTTGAGAAGTGTGTGTATTGAATCAGTTAACTAGGCATTAAAAACATTGCTTTTAGAGAATGCAGAGTTCTGTTGCTCAGTTTCTTTGGAAGATTGGGAAAAAAAACAACAAAAAAACCCCAGCGTATAATAAAAAAGTAAAAATAAAAATTTAAACACTGTGAGTAGACCCTGGGTGATTCAGGTGAACTATAGTCAAAGAGAATTATTCATAAGTTACAGATCACCAATTTGATTTCCAGGTAAGAGAGTGATATAAGTCATTAACATTCTTTTTTCCTATTTGGTCTAGACAGATGGTCTTTAGTCTGTGTTCTGTATGTTATCACAGTTCTTGCCATTAGCAATTTTTGAAGAAAGATGAGTAATGTCTTGAGGGCATCCAGCTGAGTGTGGTTACCCTGTCGGATAAGTGGCACTGAGGTGTAATCCTGGGGAGAATTTCTGTGCTCGCTCAAAGAAAGTTGTTCATACTGGACGTTTTGAAGGAGTTAAGTGGCTTCCTCATCAGTAAGGCTGAATGATTAGGTTGGATATGGTGGACAGGGTAATGGGAACAAGAGGCAGAAAAATCCTCCCAGATGATCTGGAAGCTGTATGTGAG